GAGACGGGGTTTCACCATGTTGACCAGGATGGTCTCGATCTCTTGACCTCGTGATCCACCCGCCTCAGCCTCCCAAAGTGCTGGGATTACAGGCGTGAGCCACCACGCCTGGCTTTTCTTTATATTTTTAGTAGAGACCGGGTTTTTCCATGTTGGCCAGGCTGGTCTCAAACTCCTGATCTCAAGGGATCCACCCACCTGGGACTCGGACTCTCAAGTGCTGGGATTACAGACATGAGCCACTGTGCTGGGCCTGAGTTCTAGTAAAACCAATTCAGGGCTGACCCCCGGTGCCCTGTGAGAATCCCTTCTTGCTCTGGCAGCTCTCCTCCCCCGTTATCTAGACTCTACAGTTTCCCTCTCTCCTTAGCTACAGTTTTCTCAATCTTGGGGCTCCAAAGCCCCTCTTTATTCTGCCCCTCCTGGTGCTACTTCCCTGTGCAAAGCAGTGCTTCCCGAGATCATAAGCCCCATGAGGGCAGGAACACTGCTTGTGTTATTCACTGCTCCATTCCCAGCACCCCTGAATTGTGCTGAACAGAGAGGTGGCACTCAATAAATATTCATTCAGTGAGAAAACTTCCTGAAGCCACTAGGAAGGTAACCGGTCACGTCTCCAGATGCTTCAGTACTTGAACCTACTACAAAGAATTTGTGGCCTACCTCCATAGAGATAAACATGATACCCATTTCACAAATGGACAGCTGAGTTAGTTCAAATAATCTAAGATCATAACTATTCTACCTAAAATGGTCTGACCCTTGGTTAGAAATATTTTTAAAAGCCAAGAAGTAGAAGCTATTGAAAAATCCAGCATACAAAGAGAACATTACTCATGTCATTTAACATTTCTTGAAGATATGATGGATTTAACTGATGTAGAACAGTCTTCCTGGATAAATCCAACAATAAATATTTTGGTTTCCTGAAAACAAAACAAAACAAGCAAAATAACTGTTCTTGGCTTGAATCATAGGAATTCTTTGCTGGCAGCTGCGCCCAAGCTGATTGCATATGTGCTTTTAGGATAGGACTGGAGACTGCATGTGTGTTCTGCACAACAACCACGGACACTTAACATTCATTAAATAATAATGAAACAGGACGCCTGGATTTTTTTTCTCCTAGGTTTCTTCCTCATTTAAGTGACCTTGGACAAATCCATTCCTTCCCTCATATCTGATTTCCATCAGTCTGTTTCGGGATAATGTTTATGACTAAGATGCTCTGTGAGATCTTCAGATTACAAATAATAGTTGCTGCCCTTCATCTATTAAAATTTTCCTCCTTCACTACTCTATGGGATGTTTGCTTGACCCTTCCATCGAAAACCTTCACACACAGTTGTAAAGCGTCAATACCATCTAGGGACGGTTCAGAAGCTCCAAACCCAATCAAATGACAAGTCATGGGATAACTTGGGCCATGAAAATCCGTTTCCTCTGCTACTGAGAACTGGAAAACAGGTACATGTACTAATCCTTAAACCATGTTTTTCTTCTTCCTGCCGTTGTCAGCCTCTTCTAAACTATGCAGAAGCTGCGGACATTTGACTATCCTATATTCGACAATGCTTCCAAAGCAATCCTACCGAAAACAGATCACACAGCCCCCACGGGCGGGCAGGACAGGCCGCCGGGCCCTGGTTCAGGAGCTGCGCGCTCCACACATTGTTTAGAGGCCGACGAGGCACAGCCATCTTGCGTCGGGCACCAGGGCCCGGGAGGAGAGCGAGCCCGGTCCCCAGATCCCGGAGGCCGGCACTGGCGAGGGGCTGCCCCGCACGCAGGCGGCCCGCCCGAGCCAGGCAGGAGTCTGAGCCACTAAGTTGTCTGCTGTGGACTCGGGCCGGCCCCGCAGGACCCCGCCGCACTTGGCTGGTCGCGCAGGCGGGAAGGAGGCCGTCGGTCCACCCCTCCCGCTGCCGCAGCGGCCCCGTCCGACAGCGGGCGCGGGACGCCGCGTTCCGATTTGCCAGCTTCCTGCTAGGGAGCGTTTTCCACTGGGGCGCGGCAACCGGACAGGTCGCGTCCTCCCCCACCCACTGCCGCCCGGGTCTCCACGGGGGCGCGCGCCGGGGCCCGCGCGGTGGCGGCCCCTCCCTCCCCTCCCCGCCGCGGCCCTAGTCGCCCACAGGCCGGGCGTTCACCCGCCGCGCCTCCGCCCGCCGTCCCCTCCCCCCGCTTCCCTCCGGGCGCCCCAAACCCGGGCATCGGGGGTTCGACGCTTTGCGCGCCGGGAGCGGGATGGGAGTGTAGGGCCGGGGGCGGGGGTTGGCCGGGGGCGGGCGGCAGTTTCGGCGGGAGCTGGCGGCCCCTCAGCGTGTCTTTTGTGTTTGTACACACACTGCGCGAGGCGGCCGGGAGGAGGGAGGAGGCGGCGTGCGGGGGAGGGGCGAGCGCGCGTCAGCGAACTGGCGCGCGGGGGGAGGGGCGGGGGCGGGGCGCGAGCAGGGTTGCGGGGGCGGGGCCGAGCCTTCCCTCCATTGTGTGTGATTGGCTGGCTCGCGGCGCGGGGGCGGGGCGGCGTGTGTTGGGGGATAGCCTCGGTGTCAGCCATCTTTCAATTGTGTTCGCAGCCGCCGCCGCGCCGCCGTCGCTCTCCAACGCCAGCGCCGCCTCTCGCTCGCCGAGCTCCAGCCGAAGGAGAAGGGGGGTAAGTAAGGAGGTCTCTATACCATGGCTCGTACAAAGCAGACTGCCCGCAAATCTACCGGTGGTAAAGCACCCAGGAAGCAACTGGCTACAAAAGCCGCTCGCAAGAGTGCGCCCTCTACTGGAGGGGTGAAGAAACCTCATCGTTACAGGTATTAAAAAACGAAAAAAATGGGACAGTCTCTCTCTTATGTATCCATATAATTTAACAAAAGATGAATAACAGGAAAACTTTTTGCTTTAGAGAAACATTTTTTTATTTGAACACATACTGCTTAAATACATGTACTGTGTGATCATTTATATATATAAATTTTAGTATTGAGATTTATTGGAAACGTTTAACTTTTAAGCCATAATCTGACCTAGAGGCCTAAGGAGACGTAGTACATCACTGATAATGGAATATATTGACATTTTATTTAACTTAGTAATTCTTTAAAAATAGTTATGTGTTGCCTTCTTGAATACACTTTTGAGGATATCTTTCCTAGCTTTTGGCAAAGTGATTTAATCGAAATGGGGTGTTTTATAAGATTCCTACCCCCTCGTTTATTTGATTAGCTTATTTCCTTCTATATTAGTTCATTGGATTGTGAACTACCTGAGCCACTGTGTTGTTAAGGGCATCTGCCATTAGAGGGCAGAAGTTGCTCAGACTTAGGTAGCCTCAGCAGATATTACCATTAACCTAAAATAAAAGCTCATACAGTGGAAGAAGTCAGTCAGAATGAGAGGTAAATTTCTTTCTAACAATTACTTAAAAAAAAAACTTTTCCACGTGGAAGGAACACTACACAATCGTATGTATTTAAATTTAATAATTCTTGAGGAATGAACTGTAGTCAGAGTAGAGGTATTCTGGGAAATAGAACTTAAATGCCACAAGTATATTTTTAAATGAAGTTCATTGGGTTGTGTTGGTTATCTTTAAGGGCTGTTAAGATAATAGAGGGTGCAGGTGGGAAGGAGAGTGGTGCTAAGTTGAGAAGAGTCAACTTTATTAGTAGCCTGACAGTACCTTCCAAGGTTTTGATACCTATATCACTTTAAAAAATGAAAATAAATAGGCCTTTGGTAAACTCCTTGTTAAGAATGTATTTTAATTTCATGCTTTTTGCTAAAGGTATTGTTACTCCTGCTAGACTTGAATGTCATCATAAGTTGATCAGTGAAATTTGATACTGAAGCTGAAGAATTGTTGGGTGGTTTGTTTTTTGAAAAATTACTGCATTTCTTTAAAGCTGCCCACTTTTTATGCTATTTATGTTTTTGGTAACTTTCTTTATTGTTAATTTTTTAAAGGCCTGGTACTGTGGCACTCCGTGAAATTAGACGTTATCAGAAGTCCACTGAACTTCTGATTCGCAAACTTCCCTTCCAGCGTCTGGTGCGAGAAATTGCTCAGGACTTTAAAACAGATCTGCGCTTCCAGAGCGCAGCTATCGGTGCTTTGCAGGTAAAATCATGGGTGGGGAAGACTCAGTTTGTATTCCTGTTGTGTACCAAGAACAGTTCTAGAAAATTTTTGAATATGCTTTTATATATATATGTGTGTATATATATACACATATATATATATATATATATATTTTTTTTTTTTCCTCCTCTGTTTACCACAACCTCCACCTCCAGGGTTCAAGTGATTCTGCCTCAGCGTCCAAGTAGCTGGGATTGCAGGCTGGCACTACCATGCCTGGCTAATTTTGTATTTCTAGTAGAGACGGGGTTTTCCCGTGTTGGTCAGGCTGGTCTCAAACTCCCGACCTCAGGTGATCCCCCTGCCTCTGCCTCCCAAAGTGCTGGGATTACAGGCATGAGCCACTGTGCCCACCCGCTAATATCATTTAATCACAAGCCTGTCAGGTAGCTGACATTGTGACTTCACTGTTGAGACTTCAGAAAGGTTAAACTGCTCAAGGTCATGCCCATAGAAAATGGCAAAACCATAATTTGAACATCTGACTCCAAGGCTTAGTGCACATTCATTATACCATTTAAAATTTTGAAGGCCAGGTGCGGTGGCTCAAGCCTGTAATCCCAGCACTTTGGGAGGCCAAGGCGGGTGGATCACGAGGTCAAGAGATCGAGACCATCCTGGTCAACATGGTGAAACCCCGTCTCTACTAAAAATACAAAAAATTAGCTGGGCATGGTGGTGCGTGCCTGTAATCCCAGCTACTCAGGAGGCTGAGGCAGGAGAATTGCTTGAACCCAGGAGGCGGAGGTTGCGGTGAGCCGAGATCGCGCCATTGCACTCCAGCCTGGGTAACATGAGTGAAACTCCGTCTCAAAAAAATAAAATAAAATAAAATAAAATTTTGAAACATTGCACTTAAAAAAAATATTTAAATAAAAGCCTCTGATTTGGTTTATCGATGCTGTAGGACATTAAGAAGAACTGAGAGTAGAGGTCTATATTTGTAGTAACAATTTCAACCAACAGTGCCTAGAATAAAAGAAATGTCTCTTTAGTTCCTGAAGAAACAGATACAGAGAGAGCTTAGTATCTACCATGGGAAGAGCCAGTATTAAAGAATTATGCATTAAGATGTAAGAGGAGCAGTGAGTGGAGGATAGGATTGGATTGGCAAGATGGGGGAAACAGTGCCTAAAGGTGATACTGGACATGTAAGGGGACAGGGATTTGCTTTGTGGTTTGCTGAAGGGGAATAGGGATTTCCACTTAAATGTAGAGCATATTGAATTTAATCTTAATCTCTAGCATGTCAGGATTTAGAGAAATACTATTCTTGAGATGTTTATGTATTTGAGATATTTGTGCTGTATGTCAAGACCAAAACTTTGCATCTGTTGCTTCAGTATTGGCAAAATAAAAGGAAAAAAAAAAACCCAAAACTTGAAATTACTACAGAATACTTGATAAAGGTATGTAGGTGTAATTAACATCAATCACTTAAGTAACCTATTTTATATTGTGTGGTTGGATTCTTTAGATGAAAGTATCCCAGAATATAGTAAAGCTACCGCCTACATCAGAAGCATGCAGTTGGGGCCGTTAAAAATGCTGATTGCTAGGCACCATTGCAGACCTGAATCAATCTCTTGATGAGGGGTGGGGGGGGTATCCAGAATCTTAAGTACACTCCATTGGAGGATTTTCAAGGCTGCTGTTGCTGTGCCGGGCTTTTGCTTTATGTGTGAGAAAGATTTGATAGGTGGATTCCACCCTGAAGTGTAATTGGTCGAGCTGTTTCTATGGTTAGTCTAAACTTCATTTGATTGGTGTATTCCAGGATTAGGCATCCATTAAATTCTCAGTGAGTTGCTGAAATTTCAACTAACAAAATCTTGCATTCTGTTACTTAAAACTTTATTTTCTGTTTTAATAGCCAATTATCTTCAGTTCTCATTTCATTTATTACTAAATACAGAAATGTTACTAAGATTCCCAAGCATTGGTACAAAGCTGCTAATATTTTCTAGTTAGAACTATGCTTAAAGAACACAATACCGTACTTGAAAAGTGCAGCATTTTTTAGCTTAAATGTCAGTAATATAGCCTTTTAAATTGAGTTTACTAAACAATCTGGGTAAAAGACTCATCTTTCTAAAATTATTCGTGTGTAAACTTCAATTGTTACTATTACATATTTGTCATTAAGTGTGGTTGTGTTGGTTTTAAGCAAAATGTACACCTCTTCTGTCCACAGTTCTCTTAGCGTTAGCTCTTTATTGGAAAGAGTGATCTTCGTAACAGGCTTTTGTGTTTTGTGTTTGCTTTTTTATGCATATGCTTTAGTTCTCTTAAACAGAGGGAGAATTTGTTAATGGACTAGGATAATAGATTGCAGTTGAAGTAGAAATCCAAAGGTCACTTTCTTTTTGGCCTTAGAATTACACACTTTACAACTAAAGGATGGGAGGGAGTCCAGTGAGAATGGTAGAGAAGCTAGTCTCAGCTTGCCATAAGTAATCAAAAATTGGTCTACTTAAAATTTAGTCTTTGCCTTTAATGTCTGAGAACTTGAACTCAAATATCCTTATGTTAAATGGACAGTGTTGCTTTGAAATGGTAAAGAGCCAGACATTGAATATACTCAAAATGTCCTAAACTATTATTTTCTTGTAGTTTTGTTTTTTCTTTTGCCGTTAACTCAATTCACTGGGTCATAAATTAATGTGGCAATCTTTAATTCCCATTACAGTCTTAATGTTTTAAGGGACTTCCGGTTACTTGTAATAGAATTGGAAATGTATGGGTTATGGTCAGATCCTCTCTAGGAGTTGAATCTTTTCTCAGAGCTGACCAGACACAACCCTTATAAACTAGCAGCCAGGTTCTAAGAGCTATGAGAGCCCCAGCTGCTCCATGCCACATCTGAATAGTTCTAGGTGATACCACTCTAGGCCTCAGAATCATGGGACCTGATGGTTTGCCCACCTAGTAGCTTGTGCCACATTTCACAAAAGCATTCCAGCTTTCCATAATCCTGAGGTGCCAGGTTAAGCAAAATTAAACTTTTCTTTCCTGTGAAACTTCACTTCTAGTAAGTGATATGTGTTGTGAGCCCCTAAGGAGGCTACAATATGCCATGTTTTCTAGGCTTTCTACCCACTTATAAAATAGGTTAAGAACGAATCTCTGAATATTATTAAGGACTTTTGCTTTTTAATACCTTTGGAATAGGTAAGATGTGATGGACTAATTGCATAGAATAGAAACATGT